ATTGTGTAAATGTAGCACATTTTCTGTATCCATTCCTCTGTTGAAGGACATCTGGGTTGTTTCCAACTTCTGGCTATTACAAATTAGGCTGCTATGAACATAGTGGAACATATGTCCTTGTTATATGTTGGAGCATTTTCTGGGTATATGCCCAGGAGTGGTATAGCTGTGTCCACTTTTCTGAGGAACTGCCAGAATAATTTCCAGAGTGGTTGCACCAGCTTGCAATCCCACCAACAATGGAGGATTGTTCCTCTTTCTCCACATCCTCACCAGCATCTACTATCACCTGAGTTTTTGCTCTTAGCCATTCTGACTGGTGTGAGGTGGAATCTCAGGGTTGTTTTGACTTGCATTTCCCTGATGACTAAGGATGTTGAACATTTCTTTAGGTGCTTCTTGGCCATTTGAGTTTCCTCAGATGAGAATTATTTGTTTAGCTCTGCACTCCATTTTTTAATAGGGTTATTTGGTTGTCTGGAGTCTAATTTCTTGAGTTCTTTGTATATACTGGATATTAGCCCTCTATCAGATGTGGGATTGGTGAAGATCTTTTCCCAATCTGTTGGTTGCCATTTTGTCCTATTGACAGTGGTTTTGGCCTTACAGAAGCTTTGCAATTTTATGAGGTCCTATTTGTCAATTCTTGATCTTAGAGCATAAGCCATTTTAAAAATTACTTATTAGATGCTGGGCATGGTACCACACACCTTTAATCATAGTACTTGAGAGGCAGAGACAGGGCAGTCTTTGTAAATTTGAGCCTTGTTAGCAGGTGAGTTCCAGGCCAGACAGGGCTACACAGTGAGTGAGACCTTGTCTCAAAAACCAAACAAAAATAATTTAAAATACAAAAAACATGTTTATTAGCCATTTGTATTTCTTTGTGATCTCTGTTCAGTTCTATGGCCCATTTTTTTTAATTTGGTTGTTTTCTTGATGTTTAGTTTCTTTTTTTTTTTTTTTTTTTGGTTTTTCGAGACAGGGTTTCTCTGTATAGCCCTGGCTGTCCTGGAACTCACTCTGTAGACCAGGCTGGCCTCGAACTCAGAAATCCGCCTGCCTCTGCCTCCCAAGTGCTGGGATTAAAGGCGTGCGCCACCACCGCCCGGCTGATGTTTAGTTTCTTGAGTTCTTTGTATATTCTAAATACTTAATCCTCTATCAGATACATAGCTGGCATTCTGTAAGCTGACTCCTCGCTTACGTGACAGTTTCCTCTGATGAACAAAAGCTGTTGAATTTTATGAAGTATAATTGTTGATTATTGACCTTCTTGAGCAATCACAGTCCTATCTTGAAAGCCCTTAAAGGGCACCTCATGCTGTTTTCCTCTTGTCGCTTTTGCTCTTAAACTGGGGTCCTTAATCCTTTTGGAGTAGATTTTGTGCATGTTGGGATTAAATTTGTTCTTCTATGTGTATATATCTAGCTTTTTAGTACCATTTGTCGATGCTGTCTTTTCTCCAAATCGGGTGCCTATAGTTGTGTGGCCTAGTATCTGGGTCTTGTTATTTTTTGTTGATGAATATATGTGTGTCTATACTACTCTAGTTCTGTATAGCACAATGAAATCAGGAGTGGTGAAGCCTTTAGCAATATTATTTTTTGCTCAGGGCTGCTTTGCCTCTCCAGGATCACTTGTGCTTCCATATGAATTTAAAGATTGCTGTATTTCTGTGAAGAATGTCACTGAAATTTTGCTTGAAATTGCAGTCAATCTGTAGGTTTCTTTTAGTAATATAGCCATTTGCACAATATCAATTTTTTTCCTAGTTCATGAACATGGTTTAGGTTTCTATCTTCTGGTTCTTCTTCAGTTTCTTTCTTCAATGTTTTAAAGTTTTTATATATATCCATATAGATAAATAGATAGATACATAGATATAGATAGATATATGTGTGTACATATATATGTGTGTGTGTATATATGTATATAATGCTATTTATAATATACTATTATGTTATATAAACTATATAATATATAGGTTATTATATAATGTATAATTGTATATGCTAATATAGCATAATAAAACAATATATTTTATAATTTATGCTTACATATAATTTTATGTTCTAACATAGTATATAGCATGTAATATTATATAATGTATATTTTAAAATAATTTATTTAATTTTATGTCCTTTGGTGTGCAGGTGTCAGACAGTTGTGAGCTACCATATGGGTGCTGGAAATTGAACCTGGGTCCTCTAGAAGGGCAGCCGGAGGTGCTCATAACCATTTAGTCATCTCTTCGGTCCCAAGTTATTTTTTAACTTGTGAATTAGATTATTGTGAATTATATTATTTCCCTTTTCAGTTTGTCATTGGTACCTCGGAAGGCTAATGGTTTTGTGTAAATTTTGTTTCCTGCCACTTTGCTGCATGCGCTTGTCAGTTCTACGGGTTCTGGCGGAGCCTTTAGGAGCTCATATATGGAGCTCTAACATCTACAAATAGTGTTGTTTTGACTTCTTGTTTTCCTATTTGTGTCCCCTTTCTTTGTCATACTGCTCTAGCTAGCACTATATTGAATGAGAATAAAGAAGGTGAACATCCTTTTCTCATTCCTGATTTCAGTAGACATTCTTGAGCCCCCCATTTAACATAATATTGTCTATGAGTTTGTCATATCTTGACTTTATTATGCTGAACTGTGTTCATTCTACTCTGAGTTATTTTAGGACTGCTATCATGAAGGGATGTTGGATATTGTCAGATGTCTTTTCTTTATCTATTGAGATACTAGGTGAACACTGTCCTTGAGTCCATGTATGTAATTTATAACATTCACTGATTTATCCATATTTGACCATCTCTGTATCTCCAGAATAAATCTAACCTAATGCTTTCTTTAAGTCAATTTGTTCCTTTTATTATGCACGTGCATGTGTGCATGTTCATGCATGTGCATATCAAGGCACATGTGTGGAGGTCAGAGGACAACTGCATGACTCAGTTCTCTCCTTCCGCCTTGTGGGTCTTGGGAATTAAACGTGGTCGTGAGGTTTGGTGGCGAGTGCTCGTGTCCAATGAGCCACGCTGCTGATCTCGACGTGGGCGGCTGAAAGGGATTGTAGTAAGACATGAGTTAATTTAACAGTGTAGCCTGAGCTTGGAGGAAGGGCGGGCATATCAGAGCAAAAGAACAGCGTTTGGGGTAGGGACAACTCTAATATGGGTGCATTTTTCCTCAGCCTGTACAATGGTAAGAATACAGCTTTGACCCAGAGACAGAGAGCAAGCAGGGTATCTCAGCCAGACAGGAGTAATGCAGGTGGATGACATAGTGGCACAGCTTTAAAAAATCCTCCAAAGAAAGGACACCCCCCCCCCAGACTGATGTTTCCCTCGCTAGGATCTTTGCCTGAGTGCGTTCAGAATGTGCTGCAGAAAGCTATGACCAGACATTCCCCAGGCTAACATCACAAACTCCACTGTCTTAACTGACTCAGACTGTCAAGATCAGTTGCAGGTTGGCATATTTCTGATTACCTGCTTGTTTTCCCTTGCAACAAGGGTGTGAACAGGCAAGTGGAATACTGCCAGCCAGCCTTGTAGAGGCATAAGCAAGTTTGGCCCTTAAAGGAGACTTTGGGAAAAGATTTGTATGGAAGGAGATATTAGTAAAAAGGAAATGACAGAAGCTCAAAAAGTTGAATTTTGTCATTGTAGCTGGTAGGAGTGGGGTCACTGAAATAGGTTCTTCCTGGGCAGCATCTCTGAAGAAAGCATAGGAGTTAAAGGTGTCAGTGGTATTCATAGCTTGCCAACCATCACCCTGAGGGATCCTGAAAAGACAAATGGAAGGGAAACAGTACTGACAGCCAGATGATGTGAGCTCCTGGGTATTGAGTACTAATTGAACATAACAGTAGCTCTGAGATTGTTTCTCTTAGTGTGGTTTGTCAGATACTATTTTGGGAGTAGTCTTTCATCTGTGCCTTTAGTTGCAAGGGGGAAAAGAAGAGCTGGGTCTTTGTGTCCACCTGTGGCTAATATATATCCTGTTGGTGTATAAGGGAGCCTGGGTAGAATGGATCTTATCCGTATCTCCCTCTGATACATAAGCTGTGGGCCAGGCCCTGTGAGATGTACCTGGAGCAGCCTCATACCCCCCCACCCCCCAGACACACACAGGCTGTTCCCTCTTCTCTGTGATAAGCAGCTCCAGACAATCCCTGAGCACCAGGTGTTGTTCTCAAGGGTCCAAATATACAGTGTTTTTCTGATGGTTATCCCATTCCTCAGTGGTAAACAATGCTGTGTCAAGGTGCTTCTCAGAGGCCACTTGGAGCACACAGATACTATTTCTTTTACTTATTTTTGTTAGTAGGATTGTGAAGCTTCTCATTGGGCTACAAAGCCAGGGCCTGAGCCAACAGCTGGAGAAAGTCCAGGACTAGTGCATTTAGGGGTTTGAGGTGGAAAGCAGGAGGAGAGAAGGAGCGGCAGGAGCATAGAGCAGTACAAGCAAGCAGTCCACATTGCTTTGCTTTTGGCTTTGCTGTCAGCAGACTGACTACCATTGCCGAGACTGGAGGGACGGCGCTGTTCACAGCCCTGACTTAACCATGCTGCATCGGACTGTTCCAAGTAGCTCTCGTGCTCTCTTTCCCTGGGAGGCAAGTCTCCTCCCAGTCGTCCCTCCTGCTCCTCCTCCCTCCCGCCCCCCTTCTGTGAGAGATGATGCGGTTCTCTATTGCTAGGCTCAGCCAGCTGATGTCACTGGCAGCGGGAAGCATCAGCAGCCTGATCACATGCTACCTAGTCTGTAATGCAGACGGGATAGGGGTGTGTGTGGGGAGGGGGATATATGGCAACTATTCTTGCTTGAACGCTGCCAAAAGTACAGAGGTAGCAGCTGCAGCATCCAGCCAGCTTGGATATCTTGCCCCTAAATCTGAGGAAACTAATATTGGTGGTATTTATTGTTGATAGTATTGAGAAAAACAACCCTTAACTCTGGGGGTTTGTTTTGCTGTTCTCCTTTCCAAAGCAGACTTCCAGGACTCTGAAGAAACAGTTACAAGCAGGATGCTTTTCCCCACCTCTGCGCAAGAATCTCCCCGTGGCCTCCCAGATGCAAATGGCTTGTGCCTTGGCCTGCAATCACTCAGTCTGACTGGCTGGGACCGACCCTGGAGCACCCAGGACTCAGACTCCTCAGCCCAGAGCAGCACACAGTCAGGTGAGTGCAAGAGAATACTGTGACTGGCTGGGGAGGGGGCCGAGTGGGGTGGTGAGCTATGATGCCGAAGCAACAGTTGTTCTATTCCCCTTTGCATCACTCCCTCTATATACACACAACACTGAGTTGTTTTGCAAGCAGTGGTAGCTGTGAGTGTTGCATGACAGATAGAGACTGCTGGTAAAGGCAGATATGGCTTTTCTATTTGCCCTGACAAATTCTCTGGAGTTTTTAGTCTACACCTGAGGTAGCCCTCACAAGGGTCCCCGAGGTTTCAACCTTATGCAGATATGATCCGTCTAAGCCTCTGGTGCCCAGGCCTGTCTTGGAGATGATGAAGCAAAACACTTTTAGGTGGGGGAGGGGAGTTAAGGAACTGATTACTGGATGACCAGATTCTGTTTAGTGGTTTTAAAACTAAAGAGCTATATGTGAAGGTTGAGTAGCCCTGAGTCATAGCGAGAGAAGATTAACGCAGCCATTTGATTTGAATATTGGAGCTGCCTTGACATAAGGTTAAGTCCTGGGAAGGGACTGGCTGGGGAGGAGGGCAGAGAGAGTCACTCCCAGATGCAGAGAGGAGGCAGCTGTCTGTCTGTTGACGGTAACTAATGGGTAAGAGGCCACTCCCCTCTAGGATCTCTTGTCTTCTTGATAGAGGATTAATGGGAACACATTACAGGGAGTTATTGACAAATCTTTGAACTGCTTCTGCTCAGACCTTCCCATTACCTGTTTATTTCCTTCTTGTGATATTTGGGGGAAGATTAGCCAGGTAAAAATCATAAAATTTCCTAGGAAGAATTGTGAATTTAAATGCTATAGTATTACTCAAAAATCAATATATTTTACTTTATATCACAATACAAAAGTATTAGCAGATTCTATGGGAAAATGGAGGACTGGTGTGTGTGTAGCCATTTGCTATTAACATTGACGATGGAGTACACTGAGCTTCTGTCCTTTCACATACCTCCAGTCTAGGACCAGGAGTCATGGCAGCAAGGCGCTGCTGTGTTGCTTTCTCTGGCCTCCACCCTATGTGGCCAGGTGGTTTGGTTTTGTTTTTTGTTTTTTGTTTTTGTTTTTTGGTTTTTGTTTTGCTTTTAGAATGCTTTGCAGAGTCTGGTAAGACTAATGTCTGCTAGACATTTTAATGCCCCTTTGTTTTGGTAAAGTGCTTTGGGGGAAGAGGAAGGTTGATTTTTTTTTTTTTCAATTGGTATGATCCCTTGAAGATAACGTTATTGTAAATGCTATCTCCAGCTTTTTTTGGGGGGGGCGGTACAAGGAGAAAATAAATATTCTGTTACCTAGGCCAGGAAATGTGTCTCTATTCAATGTCATTTGCTTTGGAGGAGGCCACAGTACTTCCTTTTATGTGTTCTTTGAAACAAGCCTTGTCTTTTTTGTCTTTTTTGTTTTTTTTTCTTTTTTACTCCTACAGGATCTGAGCAAAAGAAGAGCTCACACAGGAGATGGCCACCTGTGTGTGGTCATCAGTGTCTGATTGTGCTGACATCAATTGGGGTGTGGCCCTTCTTTCCTCCTGTTTCTCTTAACTACAGAGTTAGCTTCTGAACTGTAACTAGTTCCATGGAAATTTAGATAGGTCCATCTTGAGGCTTAAGAAGGCCTGTTCTAACAGCTATGCAGTAAGATAGTTGTCTGCTCAGGAATTCATGGCCAACCTGGGCAAATGTAGCAGAACCTTGTCTCAGGAAGGAAAGAAAAGATAAAGAAAAGCTAGGTCTAGGCATAATTGTATCAGCTTTCCCACCTCTGAAGACCAGATCTTACGGCTATTAGTGTTTTTCTTTACCTTCCATCTCAAGCATTTAGTAATAAGTATTACATGATTTTGTGGATCAGGGAAGGGCTGCAGTCTGAACTTAAACATTCATGAAGACCTGATACTGGCCTCAATGCAGTGATCTGGCTAGGTTAACATGAGGATCTCTTGCTTTCTGGGGGTTAAAACATATTCATTCCTCATCTCCATTCTGTGTTTGTCTTTAGGAGCTGTTGTGCTAGCCTTCTCTTCTCCCCAAGCTTTGTGCCTTCGTGGAAAGCCCATATGAGGGTGCCATCTCCTAGAGTAGGATGGAGCCCTCCCACCAGCCAGCTGCAGTGCCAGATCGTGCACCCTTGCCAGTAATGCGGGAACACACAGCCCACATTCCAGTGCCCACACTGCCTTTCCATCTGAAAACCAATTTCACTCAGTTTCTTGAGGAAGGGAGGAGATAGTTTAGTAGCTTCAGAAAATCTGTGAGTTGTATTTGCAAGCAGCCTAGTATTTTATTGTCTGTGTGGAGCCTGTTATTGCTTAGACTCTAGTTGGTGATACTTTTCCCCAGTAAGTTGTAGCCCCACACCCAACTGTCTTCTACCAGTTTTAAGTATTTGATAGTGTATTAGGTGACATTGGAGAGTAGGGCTCTTGACTGAAGATCTTGACTATGATATTCACTCAGGCATTAAATATTATCTGCCAGAAACTGTTGGGTACTGAAGGTATGTCAGTGAATCAGATGCAGTCATTATCATTAAGAAGTTCTAGGGCTGGTAAGTTGGCTCAGCAGGTAAAGGCACTTGCCACCAAACCTGACAACTTGAGTTTGATCCCTGGGACCCACGTGGTAGAAGAAGAGCGCCAACTCCCAAAATTTTTCTTACCTACACACATGTGCATATATGAGTATACCCAGGGGAAATAAACAGATTTTTAAATTTATTATTATTTATATGAGTACACTGTAGCTGTCTTCAGACACACCAGAAGAGGGCATCAGATCTCATTACAGATGGTTGTGAGCCACCATGCGATTGCTGGGAATTGAACTCAGGACCTCTGGAAGAGCAACCAGTGCTCTTAACTGCTGAGCCATCTCTCCAGCCCCTAGATTTTTTTTTTTTTAAAGAAATCGCCATGACTATCAAGGGAAAAATCTTTTAATAGTATGTCAGGGCTATGTACTCTGTGATAAAGAATGGAGTGACATACAACCAACATATATTAATTTTTTTTTTACTGCTGAACATACCTTATGATTTTAATGCTGTACAGATGAGGAAAAACTTGCAAAAGTACACAAAGTGGCATTCTGTCTGAGCATTCCAAACCTGGTGTCTTTTGTTCTAAAACTCCCATTCTTCCTATTAAACCCCTTCTGTGACCAGAACCTTAATATGTTAGACCAGACTTAAGGTATCCTCATGTAGTACAAAGGCTAAGTAGGCTGGGGCGATCTGCTCACTGACGAAATCTCTTAAAATGAGGGCACTTGACAGACACTTTCTGCTTACTGTCCACCCTTGGTCTCAGTTCATCAGCTTAACCACCCACTGGATTTGTCTTTCTGCCTTTCCCTTTATGACTCTTCTGTATGCAGCATTACTCAGCAGGAGAGTGAAGTGACATTTCAAATCTACCTTGAGAGACCTGGAAAAAAGGGCTCTTAATGGCCACTTTGTACAGAAGCCCAGTGGGCAAGTGAGATACTCAGACTGAGGATGCCAGAGGACATGTCTTGTCTATTCTAATTCCCTTTTAGAAGTCTCATGAGATTAACCTAGTCACCTTCTTTGGTTTCTGTCCTGTTAACCAGTTGAATGTAATGTTCCTTGTGCTGTTTCATTTGCAGACTTCCCCATCGATCCATAGGGTAGAGCAGCTTGGGACAATACAAATGTCTTTTGCTCTGCTCTCCCAACCTTTTTCAAATTGTTTATGAGCCAACATTCAAAATAGGGTTAGGCTTCTCTTATATGAAATATGGATTTCCAGGCCCAACTAAGTTATCTTACAGATTTGCTTCAACTCTCTGCAAGCAGCCTCAGAACTAAGGGTACACATATGAATGAAGAGTTCCAGTATACAGCTGTATATCTAGTGTTGGAACAATGGTTCCTAGATTTTCTCTGAGACTACTCTTACTAGATTACAAGTATTTGATGATTGTTTCCTGGGCTAGTCGCACTTCAACTGTGAGCTTGAGCTAAGAGGTGTATCTTGTGGTAAAGGCATCCAGTCCAGCACTGCTGCTGTTGCCAATGCTATCATCAGATCTGGGCACCTTTAGACTCTTGGAGAGGGAGGCTTCAGAAAATTCCAACAATGACTCAGCTGAAAAACTGGAGACCTGGCATAGAGAGAAGGGTGAAAGTAGAGAAAGTTTAAAATCAGTCTAAAAATAATTACTGCTGATTTGGTCTCTTGTGCTCTGAAATGGCATTAATGAGTTGGAACCTTCTGCCGGGTTGGGCTGTAAAGGGACAGGACAGTCAGGTCACTTGAGGGCATCTGACTGTGGGTCACAGTTTCTAGAAACTTGGCTCATTCTGTGGGCTGAAAGAGATCTCAAAGCAGCTTAGTTCAGATTCTCCTCCTGTTGACATTTGTTTTATCCCTTCATCAGCTATGCATTTCCTCTATATGTATTTGTATATACACATTCTCTGTGAACAATCCTAACTAGACTTGTTAATAGCAAAACAGTAATGAACTTTGGGCTGTTTGTTTGTTTGTTTGTTTTTGGTTTTTCGAGACAAGGTTTCTCTTTATAGCCCAGGCTGTCCTAGTACTCACTCTGTAGACCAGGCTGGCCTCGAACTCAGAGATCCGCCTGTGTCTGCCTCCCAAGTGCTGGGATTAAAGGCGTGCGCCACCACCGCCTGGCGGGCAGTTTAAAATAGATATATTCACTTATTAAACTATTATGTTTATATTCCAAATTCGTCCTGTGCCCAGTGGTGCAGTGATGTCTTTTTGTGTATGACCTTAGCCTTTAATGACTGAGCCATCTCTAGCCCCAGCAATGTCTTCTGTAGCAATTGTCTTGCTTTTTAAAACACATATCTGCCTGAAGCAGTAGGCCTTAGCTCTTTTGTTTCTGTTCAATGTGAGCTTTTTACAGGATGCAGCTAGTTCCGGCCATCACTTTCCTGAAAGTATTATATTCCATGTCATTCTTTTTATAGTCTTTATTATTCGTGGT